GTGTTACATTTCGGGATAGGATAGATTCTGCTGTGTTTCTATTGTTTAGGGATTTGACTTGAACTGAGACAACGATTGAATAAAGCTGTGATAGCTTGAATACAAGCAGTGCCTGTATGTTTAAGCATCTTATAGCTAATACCTGTAGGTCCACAGACTTTTCCGTTAAGAAGTTTCAATAATGTCTAAAGAACTTCTTCTTCTGTTATAAGGGAATTGAGAGAGTTGTACCATTGGGTATTAATATGTGGTTGTGGTTAATAATGTGTATACCATAAGTTATCATACAGTGCTTGATTAATTGGTTAATATGCAGTCCAGTTATGGAAGTGTGATTGTATATGAGGGGTGGTTAATAGAAAAGGGACAAATCGGGTAGATCACAATTTTGAGATAATTGAGTTTTTGTGTTATGTTACACAAATTTCAAATTTAATCTGAAGCAAGATGACCAAATCCAAACAAGATCCGAAACAGGTTTTGAACCAAATTCTAAAACAAGATCAAGTCAATAGAAAAGGGACAAATTTATCTAATAGATTACCTTGCTTCTATAATATAATCTTGTGGTATAGAAACAATTATGAATTTTTTTTGTGCTTAAAAGGTGACTACTATGCTTTTTATTTTTAGACTTAATGTTTGAAATATTATGATCAAATAACTAGATAATACATAGTTTATATTATTGTCGTTTTAAAAAATTTTTTTTGTATGTTTGCACTTTAGACTTGTAAGTTCTCGCAAATCACTTTACTAACAAACTTATACAAGTAGATTTTTAAGTTCATATGCTTTAAGTTGATTACAGTAAAATCTCTATAAGTGCACACATCTGGGACCAAGCTTTAACAACATGTACTTAGAGAATGATAATAAAAAGTGCATTTATAAAGGTCATCTATGTAGCCAGAACTTGAGCATGCATTTAGAGTAGATGTGCACTTATAAAAGGTGCACTTATAGAGGTTTTACTGTATAAAAGTTTCAAGATTAGTTAATATAAACTGTTGCTTGCATTATCTATATTCAGTGAGGTCTAAGACAAAGATCTAATTATATAAAATTCTATACGGATCAAAAAAAAAAATATCAAGGTCAGTATAGAATCATCAGCATTAAATTGAATGAACACAACAATATTTAATGAATAAATTTTATTTTTTTAGTAGATTAAGAGTAAGCTTCCTCAATGTAATTTGCTAGCGACTGAGATATGCTCTAATAATTTTGTTGCAAACTCAGTAAGGAATATAAATTTAAATCAGGGTGATTTTGAAAGAAATAGATGGTTATAGCATTAGTTGTTTTGATTTAAAGGATAATTACACTTAATTTTTTTTTAGCTAATCTCTAAGTCATTTTTGATCTACAATAAAACCTCTATAAGTGCACATGCTTGGGACCAAACCTTAACAATGTACACTTAGAAACAATAAGAAAAGTGCATTTATAGAGGTTATCTATATAGTTGGGCCCGAAATTGTATGTACCTTTAGAGAGGGCGGCACTTAGAGAGTGCACTTGTGAAGGTTTTACTGTAATTTGATAGTTTATTTTTATTAAGTTAAAAAAAATCTTAATTCATGATTTAGGATTCGATAAAGATCTTTTTTTTATTTAGGTTAGTACAATTCTAAAGTTTATTACAGTAAAACCTCTATAAGTGCATGCGCTTGGGACAGAACTTTAATAACATGCACTTGGAGAACGATAAGAAAAAGTACATTTATGAAGGTCATCTATGTAGTTGGGCCAGAATTTGAGCATGTATTTAGAGAGGGTGTGCACTTATAGAAGGTGCATTTACAGAAGTTTTGCAAAGTACTAGTTTTGCTGTAATTTAAGAGGATTAATATGTTCTTAAACTTTGTTAAAAGACAAGTTAATGTTTTTAACTTATTAGCTTAAGAGCAGAAAGTAATAAAGAGGTGTTAAGAAAATTATAAAGTTTTTAACTTTGTGAAGAATTAGGTTTTCATTATTACATTTGAAAAGAGTAAGCATGGTGAGCATATAACCTGACAGGCAGTTATTTAATAGAATTATAGAATACTATTTTATATATTTTACATGCAATACAATAAGTTATTAAATAATTTATTTTGAGACTAATAGTTGGCTTTTTGTAAGTCTCAATTCTGATATTAATAATTAGCATTAGATTTTAAGTTAAAATGTAAGAATCTAATTTTACGATTTCAAAATAAATGATATACAGTATTAATTTTATACTATTTCTGATAAACGTTCTTTATCCAATTTATAATCTCATTTATTTCTAAGACACATTTTTTATTATTTCTTTTCACTATGGTTTTTAACACCAATTTTATATTAATCGCATTTGTTAAGATATTCAGCATGCTTTTTCGACCCCAGTTTCACATAACATAATGCATTTTAAAAATATACCTCATCTTGGTTATTGTTAATAATAAAAGAATGTATTATATTCACCCTTTTTAATTCTAGCTAACTGATTGTTTGTTTTGTCAGCAGGTTCCACGTAGTTACTTTTTATAATAAATGTTTAGACATTGGTTAAGTCATGAAATTTTTTTATTACTTATAAGTATGCGAAATGAATATTAGTTCGAAACCTATTATTTGAAAATAATAAGTATTCTATGTAACCATTTTAAAATAGCAAAATTTAGAATTTTAGTACTCATAACCAGTAGTGATCATCACCTATATTTTTTGCAGTTTTAGAGTAAGACAAAGGTCAGATATAACAATAAAGGTTCAAATTTTAATTAGAGTTGGAGGCTCTGAACATTTTTGTTTAATACCCCTGATGTGAGTTTGCTACATAGTAGGTTTTTGATCACTACTAGTTATAGTTAGCAAAATCCTAATTTTTTAAATAAAAATTGCTCCTACTGTTACTGTTTGTTGATTTTTTAATTTTTTTGGTTTGGGCTGGTTAGGCATTGAGCAGTAAATATCACATTTTGCCGGATTTTGGATGTGTTGTGCAACTTCTTCATGCAGGTACCATTGTCGTTCTAAATTGATTCCCTGTGGAACAATTACATCTGAGAGAATTAATCCATTATTTTTGGTTTTTGGTATTGAAGAAACTTTCGCAACTGAAATTTCAGTTTCATCATCATTAAATGACTTTCGAACTTTTACTTTTCCAGGATGTTCATGAGATATAACAAAATGATGCTGCATGAGAAGAGATGGAACCGTAGTGAAAAACTGATCTAAAAATTGTCTCTAATTATAAAAAATAATTCTTTTATTCCTATTAAAATTAACAACCATATCTGCTTTGTTATATCCACCAACCGTAGATTGTTCAACAATATGAATTAAATCTTCTAGGTCATCTGCTTCCGAATTTCTAAGTTTTAATTTAAACAAGCCAAAAAAACCATCTGGCCCAAACTTTGTATAACCAGGAACCATAAAGCTATAAGTGATTGTATCATGCAAACCATTCATTACCCACCAATATAGATATTTATCATCGCATTGTTTTTGTTCTGGCCTACACAATTGTCTGCATAAATAACAACCCGTTTTTTACCAAGGCCATGGGTAGCAAAGTAATGATGGACAAGAGATATTACAGTATTTGGACCTTTCACGACACTCTGATCTTCTGGAATAAGATAATTTATCTAAAGAATTAAGTAATAACGATAGAATAGAAATATTAAAATTTCAAACATGTTTTACTAATCAATTTGTAATACATAGTAACATTAATAATATTACACAATTTCACGAACATTAATGTCTGTGAAATTACTTGGTAGTAAATAATATACGTATATGTTGTACATCAGGATAAAATTATTTTAGGTTTATGTAGAATCTACTTAGGTTGAAACAGAATTCTAATATATGTAATCAGACTTTTCTAGATGCAACATATTTCTAAATACAACCTTTGACCTCTATAAATTATTGTTTTCTAAATGTAACGAGTTGCATTTAAGGGGTCTGACTGTACTCCAAATTGATACTAAAAAAGCAACTTGAATTGATTCTAATACTGTAATAAATGTGTATGTAATTGATCGGTATAACTATAGTTAGAGTATATTACATCTTGTGTTACAATAAATTGACAAAATTTTTTGTTATCTTTCTTTATGACTCTTCTATCTAATAATTGAATCTTTTTTTTCATAGTATATTTGATAAATTACTTTAGCAGAAAGTTAGCTAATAGATAACACAAAATCTTAACTGCATATGAAAGCTTTAATTTTTATATTAAAGTCTTATAAGATCCAACAAATATGGTAACAGAAATACAAAAAATGCTGTTGGGCGAAAAATATATGATTCTTGAAACACCAACAAACTTTAATATAACTTATGTTTGATCTATACCTACCTGGGTTCATTGGCTTCTTACAAGTTTTCTAAATCAAATAGTAGTCTTTTAATCTTATAATTAAAAAAAATAAATTTACCTTGTGGTAGTAGTTAATTTAGTATTCATAAATTATGTAATGCTTTAAATTTAATTAATTTGTAATGTGCTATGTTATAAATAAACCTTATCTCAAAGTAACTTAAAATCGCTCGATAAAAAATTTAGGATCCACTTAATTTTATTGTATTTGAATTCTTTAACTCAAATATGATTTAAAATTCTATACAACCTATGTTTATTCAGAATCAACCTAAGTGGATTCTAAATATACAATAATTCCATCCTAATATACGACATACATACTATAATTATAAAACTATGCAAGTTGAATTACATACCTGCCATGGCATTGCTTCCTCACATACACCAAAAACTTCAACCTTATAAAGTGATTTAAAATATGTTACTCCTTCTTGCTGTGAAGAATATGAAATTTGTATATTTTCGGTGAAATCTCATGAAATGTGGTTTTCGATATCGATTGAATTTGAAATCCCAGGTCGTGAAAAATTAGTTAAAGAATTTAAAGCTAATTTGGATTTTGCAATACAATCTCTAAAACATAAATATTATTTAGTTTTTATATGTAATTAAATTAAATTTTAAATTGTTACCTATAGTTTTCACATTCTAAATATGCCCAATTGTAATATGTTGTCCATTCATTTAATTTTTGTATTGTTTCATTTGTATTCCAATATTTAGCTCCAAACCGCTTTTTTTTATAAAGCATACACAAGTCAGTACATGGTGTCATAAATTGAATTCCAGGAAGATATCGTCTTCAAATACATTGAAAACTCGATAAACTAATATTATTTATTCTATTCTGTTTAATATTATCATAAATTTGATATAATGACTGCTTACTTTCACACGTAGGTAAATAGATTATTTCATGAGTATCATCCTGAAAACTACGCCTTAAATGCATAAATGTTTTAATAATAATAATAATATGACAGGGTAAAACTCATGCTGTGAATTAGTAATATCTGCTATATAGATCACATGAGGATGAAATTTGCTTTTGCAGATTTTACCCTAACGTGATCTGTGCAGCAGATTTTACTAATTTACAACGTGGGTTTCACCCAGTTCTATAAAATACTGCACAATGTGGATTAATTTTACAATAAAATACAAAATATCCAGAAAAAATTATAATTGGACTATAGGGAGTGATATTTTTATCCACACTGCACAATAGTTAAGAGGTAAATTGCAAATTTAATAGTAAAAATTGTCAGTTTTTCTATAGAGTTGGAAAGCAGTTAGCTTATAATGAAAAATTTTTTATGTCAAGTAAACCTTCCTTAAGTTTCTAACAAATTTTATAGAACAAGTTATTCCAGTTCTAGTTAGCTTTCGCAAAGAGCTAGACTACTCATAGATACCTTATGGGTAGTCCTGTTGGGGGACTGGATTAGGATATTAATTGTTGGATCCAGGGTAAGGGCTGGACCTGAAACATTAAGCCCTTATACATATAGATGGCTAGGATCAGAGTAGTATTAATATATAGCCCAGGGTATTGATGGGTACCTGTAATATATGAGTGTCACCAAGTACCATCATAAAAATAAATATATAATTAAAGTAAATGAAAATGAGACATGATATGCTAAGATGAATTATTAATAAGAATAAAGTAATCAATTTAGAAATGAAATAAAAAGTACATATAAATTGACCGATCATTAATAAACAAATGCATAATCATAAACTAAATTTTGAAAATTTTTTGATTCAATTATTTTTATAGATAACCCATAGGTTGTCTATAATTTTGAGAGCTAGGTTAGGATATTAAATTTTAGGCTTGGGGTATATCAAGGATAAGGTAAGGGTATGGTTACTACCCGGGCCCTAATTCTAGTAGTGGTAGAATTATTAAAATTGGTTGAGTATTGGCACTGCTCTTTCATAATTATATGATTTTTACATATTCCAAAATTTTTCGGCATTCCAACATTATATGAAAGTAATAGTAATTTTCCACTGATTTTTACTATGAAATTTATACTCTTTAACTGTAATTTATCACTTAATTACTTTACCAGGTGATGGAAGTCTGTGTTGATTGGTAAAATTTATAATAAATTTGAGCACATTCAAAACTGTTGAAAAAGAAATAGCATAATTGCTAACATGTCTAGTTAAACTGTGAACTTTTGGTATAAGACCAAAACTTTGATAATGTAAACGTAAATTCTCTCATCTTCTTTTTTGAATGTCATATATTATAAACCAAGCTTTCTGACAAATCTTAACACCTTCAAATTTATAATTCATCGTTAGATATGCTTTTTGTGTTCTATTTTTAAATTCTGTTGCATTCATACTAGCATCAATAATTCCGAGAAAACACAATTTTGATTTATTCTGTAACATTGCTTTCATTTGTTGAAACCTTTTAAGTGCTGCTTGGTGATTAACATTTAAAAGGCACCTTTTCACACAACAGCAAAATTGGTTTAGTTTCATTAAAAATGCATCATCATCACGCTTATCTGATCTCTTATCACGAATTTTTTCTTCTTCCATTATCATACGTATTGGATGAAGTGTATATATCTTATGAAAATGTTCAAATTGACAAGCAGTAAAAAAATGATCAATATATACGACTAATGACACTGAAAAAGGTTCACTAGTTTTATTTATACTAAATTCATTAGTTTCATTATCAGACTCTTTATCTGAATTATCATTATTTGTTAAATAAACATCCTGAAGTTTAGAAATTTCGTCGTTTAAAAATTCCAATTCTTTATGAGTTTTAGCAAAAATGCTGTCAAATAACATATTTTTGTTACTATTAGCCATCAAAAAAAAAAAAACTAATTACTCTTGTTATCACTATAAAGATATCGGAGTTAATAATATATAAAAATTCACAATAATGCATATTATTATTTCACTGTCGCTATATTGAAAGAATTTTATAAACTGGTTTGAGTCTTGTTTTATTACATATTTTATGTTTTATTTATTTATTTCATTAAAATAGTAAAATACAAGATATCGATATTTTAACTTATTATACACTAACCTTTTCAGATAGTATATAGTATAATGTGAACCAGTTTAATATCAAACAAATCTCTTCTAAGTTTAGTGCTTTTTTTACTGCTAAGTTATATTTATGTATTGCAATTGAACATGAATTTTGATTACACAACAGGATAGGATAAGCCTTTTTTGTAGGGCTTGATGAAATCGTATGAATTTCTGCAGACTTTTCAAATTGTATACATATACATAAATAATTCTCTGAGAGATTATTGCAAGTATTTACACTGATTTTAGTGACCTAATATATCTACATGAAAAGAAAAAAATGGAAGCTATGAGTCCAAAGAAAAAAAAACATAAACAAGATTTTTATACTTATTTCGAAATATTCCAAGTTCCAAAATTTTTTATTTCTAAATTCGCTTCTACATCTAATACAGTACACTCTATTAAATTTTAACATCTATACTTAGGGATGTAGCCCAAACCATGTGACAACTAGTGTCACATAGGTTTACTGGACTTAAACTATTGTCAAAACAATGATACTAGCTTGGGCTACATTTCTAAATCCATATGTCCCTAGGAAGACTTTTGTATAATTGGTTGTTTAAATCAATTTAATTTTATATAAAGTACTTTTAAAAAAAAATAAACCTATGAAGAATAAACAAAAAGAAAGCATATAGAAAGTTTTATTAGAGTTGTAGGACTCTGCTATTAAAAATAATCAAAATCCCTTTTTGTTTTAGAGAAGTTAGCATGGTAATAACCTAATTCTATCTATCTTTAAGAAGTCACTATTATGCTAACTTCTCTAAAACCAGAAATGATTTTGATTATTTTTAATGATTGAGTCCTACAACTCTAATAAAACTTTTTATATGCTTCTTTTTTGTTTATTCTTCGTAGTTTTATTTTTCTAGAAAGCACTTTAACCTGTATAAATAATATAAAATTAAATTGATTTAAACAGCCAATCATATGAAAGTCTTCTTATGGTCCATATGTACCTTACAATCTTATTTCAAATTCAGAACCCATATTTAAACGTAGAATTGTTAATAGGGTAATATATGTACTTCCAACCCAAGTTAAAAATATATGTGTAAAGTTGGAGCAACCAGTGCAGATCTTTAAGCAACCCAGAGTAGAATCTGAAGGCAGGTTAATTTAATAGCATGGGTTAAAGGTCAAATTAACCCACAGCTCGATTTAGAGGAAGTGGTAAACTACAAAAATATTACTTATACTTAGATTGAAGTTCCGAATTCTTAAAGAGCCAAACTTAGTCTTCGTTACAACAATATGATTTTACTACCATATAGTTTCATGATCTATCTTATAACTCTTTTGCCATGAGACTATGATAACTCTTTATATAGTGAGTTTATAGTTTGTATAATAAGTGTTCTATACAGAAACTTTATTAAAAGATTTATACATACAGGTGGGTTCGTGTTATTTACTTGACGTAGATTCTAATTTTACATTTATCTGATTTGCTGATGCTAGGAGCCGATCCGTGCAACAAAAATTTTTTAAACCGTTATATCTAATTTTTATAATATGAAAATAAAAGTTTATTATTAAGTAAAAAATATTCTAAATGTTTTAAACAATATAATGAATATAAAAACTCAAATTTCAAAAAATTTTCGATTTGTCCCTTTTCTATTGACCTCCCCCCATATGGTGTTTAATAAGATTGGGGTCTGTAATAAGTTGGTCAGAAAGTTTAATATTAGAGAAGTGAATGGGAGCTTTGTATCGGTTAAGGATACTATTTATAGCTTGTTTAGGGCGTGTTGTAAGTGTTTTACATCTCTTTTCTGTAGCTTGTTGAATTTGTTGGCGAAGTAGTAATGAGTTTTCAGTATGACGAGCTTGATATAGTT